GCGCCACCATACCTGAAAGGAGTTATGAACCTCGTGCAGATAGTCCAGAGGCGAGCAAAGAAGGCTGTCGTGGGTACGGGGCAAAAGCCGCATGAGGGTGGGCTAAAAGACCTACAGCTTTACTCTCTTAGCTATCCTTGTTGACGTGGTGACTTGATAACGGCTAAAATGATGCTGTGTAACCTTGCCTGGTTAACTAGTTTACTTGTTACTAGCCGGTGCTAAGGCCCGATAGAGGGGGAAGGTCGGCATGATGTTTCCTCTCTAACATCATGTTGAAACTGTAATATGTAGAAAAAGATAATCGTGGGGAAATTCTGTTTCATATCACCATGGAATGGCTGAACGAAGAAAATGTCATCTGAATAATGATGCGAATTTATGTGAACATCGAAAGTAGCAAGGAAATGAGAGTTTCTGGGCTGTCGTGGGACTAGGTCCAAAAGATCTCAGAGAACAGAGGTCACTGGAGGCGTGCAGCTGAAGCCCTATGTTCCACTAGGAACCCAAGGGACCAATAATAATAGTAATAATCGAAAGTAACAACATAGTGACACCAATGGTAGACTGCATACAGCGTCTAAACAGTGGCTGGTCGAATCATATCACTTATTATCATAGATTAACCTCACCTGGTCAACTAGTTCACTAGTTACTTGCTGGTCCTAAGCCCGGATAGAGGGGAAAGGCTGCGAATATGGCCAGCATTCCCCACCCTGCGCAGATAAAACATAAATTATGAAATTACTCCTCGCTGGAATCAAAGTGGCGAAAGGACGCCAGTCGGTGAAAACCTTCAGTAAGTCAACTGAGCAATGTGTCTTCTCTCGGCGAAAGCGAAAAAAAGGAAACATGGAATGTCCACACTATGATTGAACCTACCAAAGGTGTCCAGATTTCAATGGAGATGAGAGTATATAGCGTAGAAGTGCTAGGAATCTGCGAGAGAGGATGGAATGTAGGTGGACTATCCAAACTGTCAGCAGGAGAGTCAATAATCAAATCTACTCCGGCCAGTAGATTGACAGCCACGAACACATTGGGTTTTGGAGTGTTTACCATATCCCCGAGAGCATGAAAGACTCTCATGCAGAGGAAAGCAATCACTTCCAGGATCACTACAACAAGACTCAACGCTATACACCTGCTAAAAATGCAGATCAGAAAAAGAAGGAAGAATTTCACAGATAAATCCAACCAGTACTGGACACGACACCAACCCCAAATGGCGACATCAAAAATTCTAATTGGTGACATAAATGCCAAACTGGGAGCGAAAAACACAGGTAGAGAACACGTCGTGGGTCGAGAGGCACTCAGTGAAGTGAATGAGAATGAAGAACTTTTTGCAGACTTCTACGTATTTAATGACTTGGTAATAGGAGACAATATGTAAAAGCACAAGGATATCCACAAAGCGGCATGGATTTCACCAGACACCAGGACACACCAAAAATCAGATCGACTTCTTCTCAATCTCAAAAAAGTGGAGACGCAGCCAGCCTACTGGACACAAGATCAGATAAACAAGGGGAGCAGATGTAGGTTCACACCCCTCACTATCTAGTGCAAGAAACCTTCAAAATCAAGCTGAAAGCCTCCAATTCAAGGAAGTTGGTGATAGACCACAGTTCAAGCTGAACACCCAGAACAGAAACTGAACTGAAGGACGAAACTACAAAGGACATCTTCACGTCAGCCATCAGGACAAAATGGGAGACATTGAGCAACATCCCAGAGGAAACCTGCATAACCGTGCTGGGAATGAAGAGGAACAAAGACAAGAAATGGATCTCGACGGACACATGGAAGTTGATAGAGGAGGGAGAGGAAGATGGTGAAACAGAAGATGAACCAGTGCAACGCAGTGCAGGGATGAACAACGAAGAGAGGGACTGAGTACAACACGTAAAATACTACACTGGACAAAAAGTGAAGAAGAGTGTACGCAAAGACAAAAGACACTTCTACCACACACTTACAAGTGAAGCAGAACAGGCTGCTGGTAGGAGAGACCTGACAACACTATATCAAATAACCAGCTTACTATCTGGGAGGGAAGAGACCAACACAGATGACACCAATCAAATATACCGGAGGAACTTCAGTTACCAGAGAGGAAAAACAAAGGAAACGATGGGCTGACCACTTCAAAAAGCTCCTGAGTCAACCACCAACACCACCATCATCACCTGCAACTCGTCCACAAATACCACCAGCAGCCCACCCACAGAACTATCAGTGAACACAAACCCTCCGACAAAAGCAGAAGTGAAGTCCTGAATGCCATCAACTTGCTGAAAGATGGGAAGGCAGAAGCACCAGATGGAACTCCTCCAGAAGCACTGAAAACAGATGCAGAGACAACAGTGGACATGCTCACACCTCCATTTCAGAAGGTTTACAAGGAAGGAAGGAAGGAAGGAAAGGTACCTGTTTATTGATTGGAACAAGGGCTGCCTTGTCAAACTCCAGAAGAAGAGGGACCTAAGTCTATGCAAGAACTGACGCCGAATCATGCTGCTGTCCACATCAAGCAAAATATTTAGCCGCATCACCAGGGAGAGACTAAAAAGTGCTCTCGATTCGAAATTACCACCTGAACAGGCTGACTGGCTGGCTTCAGGAAAAGCAAATCATGTGCGAATCAAATTGCAACGCTACGCTACCCATCATCATGGAACGCAGCATAGAATAGCAGTCAACTCTCTACCTCGACTTCATCCACTTTGAGAAGGCCTTCGACAGCATCGACCGACAAGCAATTTAGCAGCTGCTTGCTCCAGCACTACAAAAACCACAAACCTTAATCGATCTCACTCAACTGTCATATGAAGGCGTTTAGGATTCGTCCTGGTGCAAACTTGACAGACGCAAAGACCAATCACTAATTATTCGAACTTGTTATATACACACGAATACGAGACCAAGGAAGAACACGATAGCGTAGTCGGATGGAATAGTATATTTGGATGGCTATGCAAAAATACCGACGCGTTCCAACTGACTGGCTAGAGAGTCGAATACGAGCAATGCAACGTAACACGACAGCGTGCCAAATGGCCAGGATGCTTGACCGGGTGCCTTCAGCTTAGCGAGTCCAGTTAAACTATCAAGGTCAGCATCAATGTCGAAAGTCGTCAAGCCCTAGGCTATTGATTTTGGGGAAGTGTATGACGCTACAGGCGCTACATGCCAAGTGACTCACAGTGGACCATGCAGCAGACTGTCAGAAGTGATAAGAAGGGCATACGCCAGACCACTGAAAATAGCCCAGAAGGTTTGGATTCTGCCGATGACGATTTGTGTCTAATGTCGCGCAACTCTGAGGTCCACAAACGAAAAGGAAAAAGTTGAAAGAAGAGGCAGTGAGAACGGGAACTCAGTTGAATGTAGAGAAGATGGAGTTGATGAAGATACTCAACCAAAAACAAGCACTAATCACCATCAACTGGAGAAACATGAAGAAATTTGCCTCTTCCACCTACCTAGGCGAGCAGCATCGTTGCAACTACAGACAGCACACGCACAGATGAGGACGTCAAAGTTAGGGTGGGAAGGACACCAAGACAGGCCTTCCTGCGTTAATCTGAAATAATCAGTGTGGAGATCTACTGCAGCTCGCTCAGGATGAAGAACAAGATTCGGATTTTCATAGCCATCGCCAAGTCAGTGCTTCTATGTGATGGTTGAGAGACTTGGGGCGTCACGAAAAGCATTTCCAACGAACTGTAGACATTCACAACAGATGCCTGCGCTCGATGCTGAAGATCACATGGCTCGAAACAACTCTGGAAACGAACCAGCCCAAAACCTTTCGCCCAACAAACACATAAAAAAAAATGGGGATGGATTAGGCATACATTGGGAAAGCCGTTCGGAGACATTACGCTCCAGGCCAGTGAGTGGAATTGAAAGGGGAAACGACTAGTTGGGCGCCCGAGGCGGGGGTGACATGGGTGAGATCATGTGAGGAAGGAACGAAAGCTTCCGGGCAGCCGTGGAGCCAGGTTAAGAAGACTGCGGAGAAGAGAGTCAAATGGTGGCGTGCTACTGAATCCCGTTGTTCCACTAGGAAGCCAAGGGGCAAATAATAATAATGATAAAGTGCCGTGGAATCCAAATAATTCGAGCAGTGAAATCCCAACCACTGGCCTTTGTGGCAATCCTCGTGGTGATCCAAAGAGAGTCCCCTACCAATGAGTGAAGACCCGTGTGCGTTGACACTTCTCCTCTCTGCAAGTTTGTTGCCTGTTGGCATCGCTACTGCTCCATACGTTGACAGCTTCAAGAGGAGTTTGGACAGTTACGCAGTGACATCTGGTTTGAGCTCATCCAGGTAGGATACGGAATGCGCTGATGCAACCTACCGAATCCGCACAAACCATCACGGCCAAACTATTATCGAGTATTTCTTGACTCCACTATCATCACGTACTGGACGCATCCTTACACTTCCCAGTGGACATGTCTTACAGTCACCATCTATTAATAGCATTGACATCTCCTTTCTCGCAACCCGTTCCATAATTTCACTTTCTCATTTTCCTCCCTCTGACTACGTTCTCACACTACTCATTATAAGCTCTCCTTATTACTTATCCCCCACTCGTCTACCTGGGTCTCTCCACTTCCGTTTAGCTTCCTTTCACCATTGTCGTTATTGGCTTCCTTTCCTTCGCACTTCATCTACCTTGATTTCCCTGAACGTCTTTTCTTTCCTCCTTTTGTGACCAAACTGGCCAACACTCTGGTGGCACGAAAACTGAGGAACCCATCTGTACCACAGTCCTTGGAAAAACCGCATGATCTCTATAAATTTAATCAACGTTCACTGGCCCGTAGGGCTAACTAGAGCTACTACAGAGGATCTCTGGAACCGTCCTGCAAGACCTAGAAGCAAACGCGAATAAATCAATGGGTGTACGCCAGCTTGTAAAAAGATATTGGAGATATTGGATATTGGATACCTAAGATGAGATTATGATCCGCTCAGAACTGAATTTTCAAGTTTTAACCAACATACTTTGTTCTTTTAGCTTGTAAACAGGTTGTTAACCACAGGACCTAATGATCCATGGATTCTAGACGCTGAAGCCAGTTGAGTGAAGCTCCCCTTGAGCCAGCAACCATTTGAACTATTTGAACCGCGGGTATTGTGACACATGACGCTTCTTCCGATGGAAAATGGAGAAAGCATCCTCTGTGCTCTAAAATGTATGCGTTTTACCTTTTTAATTCCCAGTTCATAGGTTTCGAGCAGGAAAAGCCGTCAGTCATACCACCAATACTTGAGGAATACATAAGACAAATATCAAAGAATGGACAAACAAGGTACATTTAATTTTCTCATCTGATTAGCACAGGTTACCGTGGATTTATGTGAAGCCATTGTTGTTGCAAAAATACAACAAAGTTGTTGATTCGTTTATTTCGGAGGAGAGTGGTCTTGATTATCCACCAATTGTCACTCCTCCTCATTTAGAAGAACTCCGACAACGAGTGTTTAGTACACTCAAAAGGCTTGATGGGTATTATGGTCTTTAAATATGTTACCTTTTAAGAATACCGTTCACTATTCAAAGAATATGTGAACTCTTTGACACTCCTACCCGTCATTACCAGAGGGTTGATAAGTTCCTTCGTGGTCTGGAAAAGGTATGATGATTTGAGTAATTTTTATTAATAACAGGTCTGTATGGTGGTGTCTACAGTTGACCCATATGGAAAGTGAGTGGTTTTTTTTAGTCTTTTTGTGTGGTATTAATGACGTGTATTGATCTGTACTTAGTCCTTCCTCAAGTAGGACATGTCGACATGAGTAGTGACTGGACATGCACAACACATGGCCAAGTCAACTCAGTCACTGAAGGTACACAACCTCATCAATCAACTTGCCTTCCTTGATAAGTACCTTTCACCTTACATAGACATCACTAACATCGTGATTCCAACATACACGACGAATGCTACGAAGATACCTGGGATCAAATACTCGTAACCACTTCATATCTTCCACTTTTAACGGTCATTTCTCTCAGACATATAACAGGACAGAATGAACTGCAATACACTAAACTCATCCTTTAACAGGGAGTCAGTCAAATATCTCGCCTGTCCGTGTCAGAGATGATGCAAGTTGGCAAATGCCAAAAGAGGCTTCTGTATCCGAACTGAGGCTTCGTTAGCAGTCAGCCCATTCGGGATGATGCAACTCATCAAGTAAGTGGAGTGGTCGATACATACCACCACTTCACTTCTTACCACTAAATTGAGAGTGGTTGTAGACTGGTCCTGGAGTGTCATCTTACAATTGACGGGTGCGGAACCTGTGCCAACCAAACATACTCAGATTTCCGCTCAACGCGTCTAGAAGACCCTTCATTTTGTCAGTCCCCTCGCCTAGCAGAACAATGTCGTCTGTGTACTCCAAGTCAACCGGATGACTCCAAGGGGAGTAGATCAATCCCTGTGAAGTCGCGTATACTCGAGATCATTCCCATTAACATATCTATAACAAAAGTAGGAATGGTGAGGGCGGGCACTACTGCTGGACACCACCAGCTGTCGTCAGTTCAGATGACAGTTCTCCACTAACCCTTGTGCACTTGCGTGAGTTCGTGTGGAGAGCTTTGATTTGCGTTATATAGTTTTTCGACACTCCTTTCACAGTCAGGAACTGCCACAGCACCGCACGGTCAGCAGAGTCAAGTGCCGCCTTCAGGTCAAGAAATATGACAAGTGTCGGCCTCCCGTAAGTGTGGCTGTGTACCAGAACCTGTCAAAGGGTGATCTGATCAACATATCCTTATCCGGGTGTGAAACCTACCTGGTTTTCTTGAGTTTGTCGTTCTCGAGCCCCACTCAGGCGTTGGATAACTATGGACCCAAGGATGTTGGACACAGTGTTAGTTAAACTGATCCTCCTGTGATTATCACATAAAGTTTTCCCTCCTTTCTTATAGACTGGGGTGATCAGTAAAGCAGACCAGTTTGATGGGACTATCTCTGATTTCCACACACTACTCAGTACCTCCGTTACTCTACTTAGCAATTTCCGGCCTCCATCCTTCAAAACTTCGGGTAGCAAACCATCAGGTCCTGCTGACTTGCATTGCTTCAAGTTCGAAGCAACGTTCTCCACTTCGAGAAGGATTGAAGGACTGACATCTATGTCGCATTCAGATTCGAGTCACATGACGCGCAACCTAATCGTTGCTGTGGGTCAGTTAAACTGGACTTCAAGGTGTTTTGAGCAACTTTTTGGCTGTACTTCTTAGGAGGTTGCTTTGGTTGTAGTGTCTTCATTTATACTTTACGAGTTTTGATGGATTTTGTTTTGTTCTGTGTTTATTCACAAGCTTAATTCTGCAGTTGTGTAGGAGTGCTTTCCTTTGGAATCTGTGATTTCTTGACCCCTGTTTTCCTTTTGTAGTCTGGACTTGTCGATCGGATTACACTTATGAATTCAAATTTTTCTTGACTTGTATGCGTGATGTTATGTCAAGTGGAACTTGGTGAATATCCGTGATATGATGAAATTTTATTTTGAAGGTCTGATTGTTCTTGCTTTATTCAGATTTGATTATTAGTAGATCAATTTGTAACACCAGAAGTGCACTTAAGTAAATCCAGTTAAGGACATTACGTGCCAAAGTACGATATGAGGTTTTCTGGGGAATAATCATTTTATCCAACAGCATATAACTTCATGTTTGTTTGTTAGGTAAGCCATATGGTGAAAACGCTTACTCGATAAAGTTTCGGTTGCCACCTCCTCTCTAAAAGTCCATAATTTTGAACTCTGATTGTTTAGTATAATTTTATTGTGATCGTTGTACTAGAAAATCTGACATGCGAACGTCCTTTGTAGTGACACTGAGCATCACACAAATTTATTACCAATGGAGTATGGGTAGGTTTCTGGTTGTGCCTCGCCTGCAATCATTTGACTTCAAAGTTAATTTCAGTGGGAATTTCCGGTAGTTATCCTAACTTTTTGGGATGCTGTTCCATTTTTGTTTTGTTTCATGATGAAACAAACCAAAGGTATCAAAACTCAGTGAAAATTATTTAACTAGCAAATTTTCGGGAAATCTTTCACTGTATACCTAAATTTTTGACGTTTGTTTAATTCTTATCACGATAAACCTGTATTTAAATTAATATCGATCATTTTACTCAGTAAAATTCATCAGGAAGATCCTCGATTCCCAAGTCGTGCTGGTTTGGACGAATATGAATTAATGGACAGCTCCATTACTTCGCCACCTAACTCTCCATCAGCTGACAATCTTCAAATACACCATGCTTCTAAGTCTTCTGATGAAGAGGCCACTGAAGAAGAAGAAGATGATGAGGGTGAGGACAACAGCAGTGATGCAAGTGATGAACGACAGTCACCAAAATCTGAACACAACTTAAGTTCAACTCCACTAATGAGCACCTCCTGTGCAAGCTCCTGGTTATTCAAAGCCCAGGGTCCATTGAATCTTCCCCATACTCCCCCAATACCATCTCGTAATTCTACACCCAAAATCAGGTTGACGGATCAATCTTTGACTGGTGCTCCTTTACTAGGTGTAAGTTCGTATTTTGAATCATCATTTGGTTTTGATTGTTTTCTTAAGTGATGAGATACCTCTATTAAGTATTGGAGATATTTTTGTTTGAATTCGTAGTTTAATTTTTTCCATATTGTGAAAGTTTAACAAAACCCTGTCACTGTGATAAATTTTGTTGGCACTTTTGACTAGCTCGTGGCCTCTAGTTACCACCAACGTATAAAATATAACCATCTTATCCGTACTTTGTGTTGCACATAAAATAGTAAACAGTATCATTTGCTGCTTCTTAGACTTGTTTTTTTATTCTGTGGAACGATAGCCTAATTATGGGAGCATACGCTGATCTAACACAACTACGCTTCTTCTAAGGGCGTTGCGTCATAAGCTGGTGATCCCTGTGCCCTCCTCCAACCTGACCAATGGCTGCTACTTTCTCGTGGTGGTCGGGCTTGTATTTCACAATGACCCAACGAGCTCCACTGACTGGAACGCTTGTTCCTTCCAGGTCCTATCATGCTAGCAAGGTCTTTTGGATGGTGATAAGACGAAAATCAGTTACCGTTGTAATGTTAACTCCTTTAGTATAGTGGGGGTCCAGACGTGGTGTCGTACTTCTGGCTAAATGGGTCGTGACAGGAGTAAGGTGGTTTCCCCTAGATGGCCAGCATTAACACCTTGGTTCTGTCTTTCCTTTGGAAAAGGGGCGATTTAGAAAAGGTTGACCCCAAAATAGCACACTCCCCCTACTCCATGGTCTTATGTTGCCAGCGATATGCGTTTTCTCTGTCCGACGTCGGAACGACCAAACCTCATCCCAGCAGTCTTGAGAAGACCGTGAGAGGAAAACCTCAGTCAGATATCTATTGGGCTCTGCGACCAAACATATCTCTTCCTTTTTCAGGTACCTTGCGAAGAAAACTTTTCACGGTATGAGTAACCGAGAAGTGTCAGTCTCCCGGACTCTCCCAGTGGTACACAGGACCCAGTCAAGCATAATACATCCTTCTCTATTCCGTGTCCTTCCTTTTTCTTCGCCTCGTGATGATGATATTATGTCTATTACAACTTCCTCAACCTCCCGCTATGCGACCGTTGCCAACAGTCAAAGCCATCGGAACCTCATTCCTAATCTCCTAAGTCCATGACACTGATTTCATATTGAGGTTTTCGACGTCTAAACCCTATGCCAAATCAAACCACAGGCGTCACTCATCAGAAGTCTGGAATCTGTGGATCCAGCTATCAGTGAAAGATTTCCCGAAAATTTGCTAGTTAAATAATTTTCACTGAGTTTTGATACCTTTGGTTTGTTTCATCATGAAACAAAACAAAAATGGAACAGCATTCCAAAAAGTTAGGATAACTACCGGAAATTCCCACTGAAATTAACTTTGAAGTCAAATGATTGCAGGCGAGGCACAACCAGAAACCTACCCATACTCCATTGGTAATAAATTTGTGTGATGCTCAGTGTCACTACAAAGGACGTTCGCATGTCAGATTTTCTAGTACAACGATCACAATAAAATTATACTAAACAATCAGAGTTCAAAATTATGGACTTTTAGAGAGGAGGTGGCAACCGAAACTTTATCGAGTAAGCATTTTTACCATATGTATTCTCTGAGCTCAGAGAACACAATACAACCAAGACTGTGTTCTGTTTACCCAGCATTTTCATGGATGCTCATATTTTGGAAGTAACTCACAGTAATTACTTAAATCATAGACTTAGTGAAGATGAAAATGAGTTTAGAAAGCCTTTTGATATGGGTCATGTTATATTAATGGGTGAGGATGATAGTTACCCCTCCGTTACCTACCAGGAGAATGAATGATGTGATGATAATAGTGATGAAAACCATGAATTACTTGCTGAAACTTTACAACATGATGTTGCATGTTTAGTGAAATCCAGGCCACCTAAAACTCAACCTCTCACTAAATATTTAAAGAAAGTTCTCAAGGAGTATCAGTACAAGTCCCAAGCACAATGTAAACAAATACTCAGATACTCAAGGAAGTTCATTTATCAAATGTTATAGTTGCTTTGGATGACGGTCGATTACCACATCAAATGCGATTTATGTTCTTGCGAGCAAATGGGCATTAAGATCGTCTGTAAACCAGCTCCACTTCAGAAATCACATCTACTAGCTGGCAGACCGTCCACCTAAACTCATAAGTTGTTCATAATCCATCAGAAAGTCAGAGGCACATTATCGTGGTAATATATTGTGTTGACTATGGCAGTATATTGCCTAACAGGGTATATTATCAATCAAAGCAGTTACCCCTAGATTTCCGCGATTCAGACTGGATACTAAATCTCAGACTGTCATTTACAACGCTGAATCTCGATTGCATCCGAACCCAAAAGAGTATACTGTTATTATCTTGAAATAATCGAAAACGTCTTTTTGATATGTTATATTATTTTTTTCACTAGAAATTCTATAAACACAACAATTTGGTTTTAAAACTAATCACAAGTTTTTTCATCTAGAGCTTGTGTGGTAGTTTACTTACTGCATACTCGAATAACGATGAAGAGGACTATGAACAACTCAGTCGTTCGACCGAAAAGAATCCTACTAGTTCTGATGTACAAGTTAATTCTTGTCGCGTACTATCTGTTACATCAAAATTAAGCTCCGAGTCATCTGAATGTTCAAATGGTCTACATGTAGGATCGACTTTGCAAGTGGAATCAGCATCAACTGCGACTCACGAACATCTAATTGTTGAAGATCAAACTAATGATAATTCATTGTCATGGGGTGAAGGAAGTAAAATCCCGATTCTCAGTATGAAAAACATGGAAGACTTAAATCCTCAATGTGAAAATAAACCGGACAAAATGTTCATAGATAGTATCGTGGATGCGGTTCCTCAAAACGACCCTCCTATCAAGGGACTGTCGGTGAGTACAGCTTATGAGTATATATATATATATATATATATATATATATATATATATATATATATATATATATAAGTAACGTATTTATAATAAGTGGATTCTCTCTTCAATGCACCAATTTTTCGTGGATATAAGTGTATTTGTAGTTCATTTTGTGACAAATTTTCAAGCGGTACTTTCAGCAGTAAAATGAATGCATACGTTCAGCTTCGTTAATATTAGTTTCTAACCATGCTGTTATCTTGACATTCGCCTGCGAGGTGACTTAACATTTAGGTAGGGATAATAACGTAACGCATACCAAGGTGATTTGTTTGTATTCGACATTATGACTGCTGATTATTTATGCATAGCGTATCTTTGGAAAATCAAGTATCTCATCAAATATTACGAGATTAGATTGAAATTGAGACTTGGTTGTCCAAATCAGTGAAGGAAAGAAAGTTGACAATTCTAATCTTATTGCTACGTAGGTTTTCTTTTAACTTCATTATTCTTGTATATAAAGTAATGCAGTGTAATTTAGTCTGTGCAGGCTTGTTTACTGGTTAATAAGCCGTATGTAACCTTTGAGAGTTTATGATCCTAACCCATTGCAGTTTCAGAACGGTAGTTTTACTGGGACGTATTGCCTGAAAATTGAATACTTAAGATAACGAGCCATAATGGCGTATTGTTCTCGTATAGCTTGGATACAGTTGTTTTATATCTCTACATACTTTATTTTGTAATTATTATTTCAGAGAGATTTTTAGTGCTCTTCCGAAGTTTGAGAAAGATCTGTTCAATTAAATAAAACTATCGATGAAACTACCTGAAATAACCATAGTTTGCTGGACCTATGTTATCGTTATTGGGTAATAACTAGAGGTAAAATGAAGACCTTCAATCATCACCTGGTACCAGTCAAAATAAACGTCAGAAAAATGTGCCATACATTGGTGTGTAAAGTTATTTTGATGCAACTACTTAACTGATAATAGTGAAAGATAAATTTGACGTTTTCGTTAGAAATCGGAATCGACTGATCAGAGTCACAAAACATTTCCGGTAATATTCGAGAAATTATTTTTTCACTATATTATACTTTAGTGAAAAATAAAAATGTCGAATGCTTCATATCTGCACCATACATTCATGATTTTATAGCAAGTGAAACTGGTCTCAAAGTATCTTTACAACATCAATACCTCAACCTATCCATTTCACTTGGTTCAGTTCATGTTTGTAGAACTGGGATTTTATCGGTAAGTGTCACATACAGTTCCGTGACATGTTATCAGCATATCCCTTAAGGGCTCTGTTGTTTTATCATTGCCCTCGTTAAATGTCTAGGTGGTCTGCATATACATTTGCTGTGCTTGTATAAAGTCGCTATGCTATGATTTCATGATATCTAGGTGATGTGTGCGCGTAGGTGTATGCTTCGCTTCACCGAACAGTTTCGACTGTAGTAAGATTTGGTAACAGAAACAGAATTTTTATTTATGCTCTTTTATTATAATTGTCAGTATTTTCTACTTTATTTTCGTAGCTCGACACATCGGATATTGAAAATAGTTCTCCTGTCAGTCAGATCCTTAGACCTATTGGTCAACTGGAAGCGTTTGTACAAAATTTAAATTCTGAGGTTTCTGGCTCAGCAACTAATACTGTGCCATCTCACAGTGGGTCTTCAATATCTGCCATTGATGCATCAGCACATTTGAATTTCGCGGCATCTGGGGATGATCTGCATCAGGTAGATAAGATTTATGTACTGCTTTTATGCCCACTTAAGATATTCCGTGCATCACATAATACCAAAGATATTGCAGTCTCATAAAAGATTGACTGGCATAATATGTTTACTCAATACTCCTTTCACAGTTAAACTTTGCGCAACAACTCTCAATTGACAGGATAAATTACCGCCTTCGCGTCAACAAAATATTGCAAGTGTCGTTTATCAATAAGTAGGGCTGTGTTCTAGAACCTGTTGAAAGATGAAAGTTTGATCGATGCACACTTGTCCGGGTTTGAAACCTGCCTAATTTTCTCAATTTTGTCGTTTTGAAGCAGCAGGTGGATGTCGAAAACATTATTATTGTTATTATTTGTCCCTTGGTTTCTAGTGGAACCTAAGACTTCAGCAGCACCTCGCCGTTCCACTCTGTTTTCTTCTCTGCAGTCTTTTTAACTTGGCTTCACGACTGCCCACAAGCTTTCATTTCTTACTCACGCCATCTCCATATCACCCTCGGACGCCCAACTCGTCGTTTCCCATTTGGCTTCCACTCGACGGCCTGGCCTGGCGCGTGATGTCCCCAATCGGTCTTCTCAGTGTATGCCCAATCCAATCCATCTCTACTTTCTTCTGCTTACTTGTTGGGCGATACAATCCTTGGTTGGTTCGTTCCCAGAGTTCCTCGTTGCTTATTTTTTCTAACCATCTAATCTTCAGTATCGAGCGTACGCGGCAGCTGTTGATGTGTGTGCAGTTTGTTGGAAATGCCTTTCGTAACGCGCCAAGTCTCAGCCATATAAAAGCGCTGACGACTGAATTAGTGTTGAAAATCGGGATCTTGTCCACCCCTTATTCTGAGTGCAGTAGATCTCCACACTGAATACAGGTTAATGAAGGAAGGTCTGTCTTGCTGTCTTACCGATCCTGGCTTTGACATCTTCATATATGCCGCCGCCTGTAGTAGAAACGATGCTGCCTACGTGGGTGAAAGAGTCAACTTACTTCACGTTTCTCCCGTTGATGGTGATGGGTGCTTGTTATTGTTGTTGTTGGTTGGGTATCTTCATCACCTCTGTCTTCTCTACGTTCACTTGAAGTCCCGTCTCCGCTGCCTTCCCCCTTCTGCCAACTTGTTACTTCTCACCTGTAGATCTTCGAGTTTGTGCTACAAGACATCACACATAAATCATCATCGGCGAAATCCAAATCTTGTAGGATCTTTTCATCGGTCAAACAGCGTGTGCCTATCTTCTCACAGTGTGTTGCATAGTCCAGTCCAGTCCAGTCCAGTCCAGTCCAGTCCAGTCCAGTCCAGTCCAGTCCAGTGGACCACAGTCAGGAAGATCATCAGTGGTAGTAGGTGGCAACCTTGTCTTACTCCTGTTTTCACTTCAAAGAGATTACTGAGCTTTCCATTGTGAATCACTTGGCATGTAGCTTCATCATGTAGCATACAGCTGTTGAATGAAGTTGATAAAGGTTTGTGGCACTAAAACTGTAGTGTTAAAACAGATGCCTGTCAAATTACTTGTCGGTCGATGCTGTCGAAGGCCTTCTCAAAGTGGATGAAGTCGAGGTAGAGAGTTGACTGCTATTCTATGCTGCGTTCCATGATGATGGGTAGCGTAGCGTTGCAATTTGATTCGCACATGATTTGCTTTTCCTGAAGCCAGCCAGTCAGCCTGTTCAGGTGGTAATTTCGAATCGAGAGCACTTTTTAGTCTCTCCCTGGTGATGCGGCTAAATATTTTGCTTGATGTGGACAGCAGCATGATTCGGCGTCAGTTCTTGCATAGACTTAGGTCCCTCTTCTTCTGGAGTTTGACAAGGCAGCCCTTGTTCCAATCAATAAACAGGTACCTTTCCTTCCTTCCTTCCTTCCTTGTAAACCTTCTGAAATGGAGGTGTGAGCATGTCCACTGTTGTCTCTGCATCTGTTTTCAGTGCTTCTGGAGGAGTTCCATCTGGTGCTTCTGCCTTCCCATCTTTCAGCAAGTTGATGGCATTCAGGACTTCACTTCTGCTTTTGTCGGAGGGTTTGTGTTCACTGATAGTTCTGTGGGTGGGCTGCTGGTGGTATTTGTGGACGAGTTGCAGGTGATGATGGTGGTGTTGGTGGTTGACTCAGGAGCTTTTTGAAGTGGTCAGCCCATCGTTTCCTTTGTTTTTCCTCTCTGGTAACTGAAGTTCCTCCGGTATATTTGATTGGTGTCATCTGTGTTGGTCTCTTCCCTCCCAGATAGTAAGCTGGTTATTTGATATAGTGTTGTCAGGTCTCTCCTACCAGCAGCCTGTTCTGCTTCACTTGTAAGTGTGTGGTAGAAGTGTCTTTTGTCTTTGCGTACACTCTTCTTCACTTTTTGTCCAGTGTAGTATTTTACGTGTTGTACTCAGTCCCTCTCTTCGTTGTTCATCCCTGCACTGCGTTGCACTGGTTCATCTTCTGTTTCACCATCTTCCTCTCCCTCCTCTATCAACTTCCATGTGTCCGTCGAGATCCATTTCTTGTCTTTGTTCCTCTTCATTCCCAGCACGGTTATGCAGGTTTCCTCTGGGATGTTGCTCAATGTCTCCCATTTTGTCCTGATGGCTGACGTGAAGATGTCCTTTGTAGTTTCGTCCTTCAGTTCAGTTTCTGTTCTGGGTGTTCAGCTTGAACTGTGGTCTATCACCAACTTCCTTGAATTGGAGGCTTTCAGCTTGATTTTGAAGGTTTCTTGCACTAGATAGTGAGGGGTGTGAACCTACATCTGCTCCCCTTGTTTATCTGATCTTGTGTCCAGTAGGCTGGCTGCGTCTCCACTTTTTTGAGATTGAGAAGAAGTCGATCTGATTTTTGGTGTGTCCTGGTGTCTGGTGAAATCCATGCCGCTTTGTGGATATCCTTGTGCTTTTACATATTGTCTCCTATTACCAAGTCATTAAATAGGTAGAAGTCTGCAAAAAGTTCTTCATTCTCATTCACTTCACTGAGTGCCTCTCGACCCACGACGAGTTCTCTTCCTGTGTTTTTCGCTCCCAGTTTGGCATTTATGTCACCAATTAGAATTTTTGATGTCGCCATTTGGGGTTGGTGTCGTGTCCAGTACTGGTTGGAGTTGTCTTTAGAATTCCTCCTTCTTCTCTTCGTCTACATTCCATGTCCTAATGCTTACTTTTGCTTTCATCAAGAGAAGCCACGTCGGCCAGTTGGCTTCTCGAAGGCTTTCACCAACCGGCGTTATTTCGAAGTCGTGGTTTCAGTGGATGTCAGCTGATTATGTGACTGGATTTTATTCCCGTAGCTCATGTTTTAAATCAGATTTTTTAGCTTTGACGTTCGTATTGTTTTTGCCGCCACCGGTCCCCATTTATTCCTTTTGGGCGATAACTGAACTGTTGCGCATGCATACTAGTTTTGAAACAAACAAATGTTCTTGATGTTTAGCTGATGTGGATTACTCTACTAGCCTTCCAGCTAATTCTGGGGATTTGTCTTTCTTTGGTCGGACACAGTTCTTTTTTGCTCATACCTTACTATAACCTTATGTTTGGTTAGGAACTTTATTGTACTAGTCGACCAGTAACAGAGGTTTGTATTTTAAGTTTACCGCCATCTTATGTGTAAAATCTTTATTTTTCAGGGTTCAACTCCTTCAGCGTCCAGTAGCACACTGTCGCCTACTTTTGCTGGTGTTAGGCGTCCACGTTCACCAGATATGGATCTGAATGGTAATACAGATATCTCAGCTAATAGGGATGCAGATTTATCTGAAAGTCCTGCTAAAAGACGTAGACTTCTGTCTTCAGACTTAAATGAAGCAATAGAAACTATAAACGAATCATTGGTGAGTGTGGTGCTCCATATTTTATTCTACTTGTTTTTCGGTAGCTGTTCCTGTATGGAAATTTTTTTGCGGTGCTACTTTCACCTGTATTTTTATGTATTTATTTGGAGTAATTTTTGTTCAAATGATTATGCGATGAATATTTTCACTATGTAGTTAATGTATTATGGAGTTAGGCGACGTGATCTTTTTACATATGAACACTGATTTCCGGTGTTTTCAAACCGGATGTAAATTTGATTAACAGCTTCTGTCTGTGTTGCAGTCTGATTCTGAACTTGCTTAGACTTTGTACATATATCTAAAAGCTGAAAACTTTTTCAGAACAAAGTTATTGGAGTTAGTATGTTTGTCGCTGTAAAAAACACCTTAAATTGAAACTGCAAAACATCAGCTCTATCACAGTTTATTTCATCAATAGCTTGCCATTTATAATCACGATAATTATATCTTATGACTGCATTAATGTAGTAAGCGCTAGATTTACTAAATCAGCCGAATATCCTATCAGGTTGGCCAGATCAAGACGTGAAATTAGTACATGAAGTACTTGACTGTTGGTCTGAGTCATGTGGGGAGATGTAGACCACTCTACTGGGGTCACCGAGACGATAGGAATCAGTGGTTGAAGACTCTTGGCGATATGGCTGAAAATCCGTCATAATCGCGCAGATGTATTCGCTCCTTGACATCTTATGAAGCTTGAATATTTACATTATCTATTATCTTCAGATTGTTTGCTCGCTCGTACAACTTTGTCTACATTGATATCACTTTTTCTATCCTACTGTTTGTATACTAGTGTAAGGTGTAGCAGCTTGAACCGTTGCGATTGTATACTAGGTTCTACGTTGATTCTGTCTGTTTGTGTGTACGTGAGTTCAGTATACAAAGTTGTAAATATTTGTAATCCCGTGATAGGATTAGTAACTTTTTGTTAGTGTCCCATTCTGAATCCAAGACATTCTTATGTAACTTCAACGTAATATCAAAGAAACTAACAAAATACTTTTTCGTTCTAACAGGTTGGATATACTGCTCAGGTTCCAGTTCCATCATCGTTGGCTTTAAATGATTCTCCACCTATAATTATGTGTAACCCTATAAGTCAAGCTCGTGATATGGATTCTGGTGAATGTGTTTTTGAAACAGAAGAGAAACTTGTTACTGAACAATCCGATGTACACTCAGTTTCATCTAGCGACAGGACTGACTTACTAACAGTGATAAGCATCAGTAGTGCGCAGAATTCTGAGGTGAATTCCGAATCTGTTGAAGTGAGTGAAGCTACTTCTCTGGTTAACGAGAATACCGAGTTGTCGATCTCAAACTCAGCGAATATTGATTCAGAAACAGGAGAAGAAGAGCCTTAATTATTCTCTCATCATAAACATCGTTTAAGTTTTTATGTGAAGCTCTATGCTCCGAAAAAATATTATCGTTATGCCATAATTGTCTGTATCTAACGTTTTCTTACTGTTATAAAACTTGGAGAGCTGTTTACTATCTTCAAATTATTCTATTGTAATCATGATCTTCACTATTATTAACTCCATTAAAAGAGTTCAATATTATATGTGATCCTTGAATTTGTATCGGTTCTATACAATCATATTTACTGATTGCTTTTAGCAACATAAATAAATCCTGATGTTTTCGTGTAAATTGGGATTTCTCGAATAGCCTAGTTGTAGAACTGTAATTCTGTGACATAATTCATACTTGAAGGAATATCCTAGGTAAGTATTTAAGAAGTTATGGGATTGATGTTCATGTAATTGGATATGAACCTTATTTGAACTGAATAGATTAACTTCTTTTTTATCGAACGTGTTGAAGTAACAGTTGCAAATCGTGGTATTTTACATTCAGGTAATTCATTATTCGATGACTTAGCGATATGCGTTGCATGACCGTTTTATAGGTGGTGACATTTTCAGACTGTGTTAATGTTTAGCTCTCTGTGGTGTTCATTGACATCATTCATCTGCTAATTTGTAATTGGAAAATACTTCAGAAGTTGTCGACCCTAGTGTTAAATGATTAGAGATAAAAACCGTCAGCCTAAATTCCATATTTGTTATCGTCCACACAGAAGATATTGATAGAGACACCAGTCAACTGAATGTTGTCCAACACCACAGCAAAATGCAGACAGCCAGCTTGCTGGTCGTACTCATGCAGACAGATTATTGGTGGACCATAGATTTCGTTTGCAAATTTTTCTTATCACTAAAGAAAAAAAGTGGGAATTAAATTCACCGGAGTGTTTGCGTCAGTTTATAGGCACACCACAGGACTACTTACAGTCTTCACTATTGTGTCTGGAGTGTATATCGTTGAAAATTATGAAGACCAAATAGTTCATATAAATAAAAAGTTGGTAAGCTAATTGTTTATGCACTTCACCACTTCATGTCTGACAGCTTGTCGATATATATGCAGACGACATTGTTCTGCTAGGCGAGGGGACTGACAAAATGAAGGGTCTTCTAGACGCGTTGAGCGGAAATCTGAGTATGTTTGGTTGGCACAGGTTCCGCACCCGTCAATTGTAAGATGACACTCCAGGACCAGTCTACAACCACTCTCAATTTAGTGGTAAGAAGTGAAGTGGTGGTATGTATCGACCACTCCACTTACTTGATGAGTTGCATCATCCCGAATGGGCTGACTGCTAACGAAGCCTCAGTTCGGATACAGAAGCCTCTTTTGGCATTTGCCAACTTGCATCATCTCTGACACGGACAGGCGAGATATTTGACTGACTCCCTGTTAAAGGATGAGTTTAGTGTATTGCAGTTCATTCTGTCCTGTTATATGTCTGAGAGAAATGACCGTTAAAAGTGGAAGATATGAAGTGGTTACGAGTATTTGATCCCAGGTATCTTCGTAGCATTCGTCGTGTATGTTGGAATCACGATGTTAGTGATGTCTATGTAAGGTGAAAGGTACTTATCAAGGAAGGCAAGTTGATTGATGAGGTTGTGTACCTTCAGTGACTGAGTTGACTTGGCCATGTGTTGTGCATGTCCAGTCACTACTCATGTCGACATGTCCTGCTTGAGGAAGTTGGATTTTGTTGGAAGAGGGTTCAGGGTGGCGAGACCAGGACGTGGCACCAGTATATGAAACTCCTTACTGTTTATCTGAGCTTTGTAAGTAGGTGTGGACTCTGGTTGGGGTTACCAAGACTATAGGAATCAGTGATTGAGGTCTCTAGGTTACTCGGCTAAAATCCGGTCATAATGGTTTAGGTATATTCTTTCTGTTACTTCCACTCTAGTTTGAATATTTGCGCTCATCTTTGTCTCCAATTTGTTTCTCTCACTTACTGTTGTCTACTTTGATATCAATCTTTTTCTTTCCATTTGTCATTTTGCATGCTACCGCGAAATGTGGCGGCTTAAACCGATACACTTCTGTTTGTGGTTTTACATTGATTTTTATGTCTTTCTGTCGGTGTCACATGGAATAAGCAGCAATAGAAGGGTTACTCATATATTATCACAAAATTGGTCGATAATTCGTATTGTTGTATCATGTGTTTAGTATTGTTTGTTTTCTAGTTTGCGTTAGTGCCTTGTCTAACAGCAGCGAGTGAAGTGACTGAGCACGCTGACCAGTTAACTCGCTTGTAAGTTGGATCATTCCTGACTTGTCAATTACCATCGAAATCTGTGCATGCACGCAAAAGCCCCTTTTGTATCCCACTAACTTGTACGGTATATTCCGCTGCCGTGATATCTGACTCCGTATTTAGGACTGCATCTGTGCAGCAGCTCACCTTTTTCTACCGCACTTTTGTGAAATTCAGCCATCAGAAGTAGACGGCAGATCAAGACTAGTTATTTAACCACAGTTGCTGCCATAAGGCATGTATCTCGGTACCGCCATGTCAGTAGTGTAGAAGTCAGGCGTAGAGTTTTGGACAAAAGATGTAAGATATTTGGTGGATAAGGTTATGAAACTTCATCTAACGAGTTAGCTGCAACCTGTGTTACGCATGCCTTAGTCACCATTCACTCCATTGCCCTACTTCAACTTAACTAGAAGTAGGCTGATAAAAGGTTGGAGGCGGCCAGACTAAACCATGGGATCAGTGCATGAAGTATCTGACTACTGGACTGTGCTGAATAGGGAGATGTAGATTTCCGGGTTGACGATCGGGGTCGGTGGTTGGGACTTTAAGCGATACGTTTCCGTATCAATGTCAATGACGGAGGTTGATCTGCACATCATCTTTATGCTAATCATCTTACCGGATTTCACTACTGTGTCAGTCCTTTTTGTCTTATCACGACTTTCTACCACTTTTGCTTACTTTCTTTATTTTGTTTCCTTCATCCTGGTGCAGTGTAGCTTGATTTGAACTCCCATGTTAATACTGACTCGCTGGTTTTTGTGGACTGTTTTTAGTTTTAGACGTTTTTTAATGGCATGAACATCTTGTTCTCTGTTTCAGTACCCTCTAAATAATGCTAAGGAATTTCGAAATCAAGTTAACTTTTTTATGCTGTTACAATTCAATATATGCGAATAAGTATGCATTCAGAAAAAAGAAATATTTTTCTTTCCGGAGGTTTTAACATCCTGCTTGTCCAATAACAAGGCACATTTTGGTTATTGTATTGGTGTTTGAATGTCCCAACTCGAATCTCGATAAGTGTATCCTGTGTTGATTCAGCATGCACTAATTTTGGAAGGTTTCCATAAAATATCAATGATACGGAAAAGGCAAGTGAAGTATGTGTTGCTCATTGGTGTAACCACTCTACTTTCAAACAGTGTGTCATGGGATCGAAGCCCACTGCACTTATCAAGGTAACGGCAGACATGTAGTATCCTTAGCTTCAACTTGGTGTGGCTCATTGTCTGCTGCACGGGACTGCACGTGGTTTTGAGTGCATTTCAGTTTTTTCCCATTTCCTAGCTGTCACAAAAATGCCCCCTCGGGTAACAAATATGTAGTAGGATAGGGCGGTCTTTAAAAAGTATTAATTAAAACAATATTTCATTATTGCTCACTTTCATCAAAGTACACAATAATGAAACTTGGGTTATGTGTATATGTCTAAATATTGCTTAAATCATTACTTTCTAGCTATGGCAAAAATTCAGTACCCTGTGAAAATATTAACTAAGCAAATGTTTATGCTATAGTGGAACTGTGGCGCAGTGGTTTATGGGGATGACTATCAACCAGTGGGTTATTGCTTCGAAGCCAGCTCCACCTACCGAGGTTTGGGGAGCCAGGTAGTATCATCAGGCCTCGCACAATAGGTGTGACTCATTGCCTACTACATGGATGTGCACAAGATTGCTGAGTACGAGGAAAAAGGGAAGATACTTTCACCATAAAAATTCTGTGCAGAAGTTAGTTATAATTTCAAGGGAGACTGAAACAATAAATGTTCGTTGTGAGTAAAAATAAAATTAGGGTTTCACTTGTATCTCGTAATGTAGATCATGACGAGAACTACATTCTGTCAAGACGTGTTTTGATTCATGACTGATAGCTAATACCTTGATGTGGTGGTCGAGCTTGTTTATCACAATGGCCCAAAGACCTGTCCAGGTGAAACGCTTGTTCTCTGGAGGTCCTACCATACCAGACAGGTCTGTCAGATAGTGGTTATACAAAAGGCAGTTATCATTATAGTGTAAATTGATACGCTATTAAGGGGATCTGAGGGAGAAGTCATACTGGTTGCTGGATGGGGGTGTTACAGCAGCAGGACGTTTGCTTTAGATGGCCTGCAGTAGCACGGCGATGCTGCCTTCTCTATGGGAAGGTAGGACGGTTAGAAAAGGTTGGGAAAAGCACACTCCCATCACCCCATGGCATGATGAAGCCTGCGACACGGGTTCATAATCGGATACGAGTGCAAGAAACCTAAATCTCAAACTTGTAGAAGGACTGCGCGTGACCGGCCTCAAGCAGATGTCCCTTGGGGCTCTGTGGAACGTGGCAACTTCGAGATAGGTTACAAGTTAATTATGGGATAAAAAAAAACAACCAAAAGAAAAATGATTTAATAAAAATAAATCGGTTCATATTGAAGAACTTGAGAAATTAAATGAAACAATAGTGCGCCTGTATTACATTTTCAACGTTACTTTTTTTTTAGAATTCAATATCAAATTATTTTTGTTTGAAAACTTTTAGAATGGTAATACAGTTGATGTTCATCTGTTTTGCAAAAAATTTTTGTATGCCATTATAAGTTACACATTTGTCGGTTGTTTCTTCAATTTCTAATGTCTCAATGTTTGTAATGCTATTCGACGGTGGCATGGATTGCAATAGTATTTAGAACCTCTTTGATTCCATGTTCCTCTTTGTAGCATGCATAAACAACTATAGCATTTGAAACAACTTGTATGATAGACAGTGCCATCCGCTTCAAAGCGTTCTGCTAGATATGCTGGTTGTGAACAAGCTTTACACGTTAAAAGCCCAGTTAACTGACCTCCTGATGCTGATTGAAATAAACTAGCTGTGGCCTGTGGTGGTGGAATTGTTGCGTCTGTTTGAGGTTCTGGATGGTAATCACTGAGTATATCTTTTTGCTCTAAAATTGGACTTGGCTTATGAAGCTTACTAAATCTTTGTTCATCTAAATAACTTTTTGTCTGTGATTCAGTACAGGGATCAGTCCTCCATGATTCACAAGTGGCTTGTTCTTGATATTCACAACAATGAATATCTTTATTGTTAGGTAGGTGTGATGCGAAACCGTCTGAATGTGATACTTCATTGTCAACTGATAAATGAATTTTTTTCGAATTCTGTTTAATCTCTTGGTTTATGTGACTAAAGGACAATGTTTCTTCTAATTTTTCACTGACTTTAAAAACAGAATTCTCAGGTTCATTTTCGTCAGAATAGTTTGAGTGTTGTTTTTCTTCCGTTTCACCGGGTGTTAGAAATTCCTCTAAGATCGGGGTTGCCATTGTCCTGTAGTTATTTCTATCAGGGTATTCATATTTACTAGTGAATTGCTCTGAATCATCTCTTTCTCTTATATTTGTACATTTTTCTGTTTCGTGTTCTTCATTCATAACGTTATCTTCTTTTAGTAAATATCCTTTAGAATGGATCATGTATTCCTGTTTCATCTGACCCCATTTCCATGGTGAAGTTGTCCTTGGATCTTTAACTGTTGTATCATTTGATGGTTGACTGATTGAAAATAAATCTTGAAGTTTGTTATCTGGATAATTAGCATATGGTAGTTCTTTTGCTGCTTGTCTACGTTCTTTACGATCTCGCATAACTTTTTTCATCATAGTAGGAAATAATCTATGAAAAGTGGCATCATGTATTCTAGAGAAAGGTAATTCTTTCATTAAACCTAAAGGAGTTACTAGGGGATTGGGTGAAAGAAATCTTCTATTATTGTGAGACATGTATAATCGATGTGATCCATGACGATTTTTATGGTATCGTCTGCGCTTTCGTACTCGAATATCGCTTTCATTGTATGTTATCAACGGTTTATCGACTGCTAAGCGTGACTCTAATGATTGATTCCGTGTATTATAATTAGTTTGGTACCATCCAGATTGATTACATTGTATAATTTGATGTGTTCCATCAACTGGTTGTTTATTATTTTCAACAGAAAAAAATCGTCTTCTTTGTGATACAGGTCTATTCAATTTTCCATTTGTTGTATTACAGGGATTATTAAATTGTCTATTTGCATTGGACTTATTATATGATTGTTTATCTTGACAGGATACAGGTAAATTTCTTACATCAAAATATTCTTGTTGATAATAATCACAGTCACTGAATGGTATGCACATTGGATTCATCATTCCAGTAATAAAATTGATTAGTGTAGAGTTTTGAATCTTAGTTGTTATATCGATTTAATCTTAGCCTATTTATTCAAGGTTTAATAGTTAATAAGTACACTGTATTCATTCATGTTAGAACAGAGCATAGAATGGCAATCAGCTCTCTACCTCAACTTCATCGACTTTGGGAAGGCCTTTGACAGCGTCGACCTAGAGGTAATTCGGAAACTGCTTCATTACTACGGAGTACCGCCAACCCTTCTCCGCCTCATTCAACAACTATATGAAGATGCCACATGCCAAGTAATTCACAATGGAAAGCTCAGTGATGCTTTTGAAGTGAAGACAGGAAGGAGTGAAACAAGGTTGCCTACTATCCCCCATGATATTCCTGATTGTGGTGGACTGGATCATGCAGCAAACAGTGGGGAGCGAGAAGAGGGGGATACACTGGACTGCGGAAAAGAACCTAGAAGATCTGGATTTCGCCGATGACTTGTGCCTGATGTCACATAAACTTGAAGGTCTACAGGCGAAAACTAACAAGTTGACAGAAGAGGTGAGGCAGCGAAGACGGGACTTCAACTGAATATAGAGAAGACAGAAGTGATGAAGATACCGCACCACCACCACCAACAAACTCCAGTCACCACCAAGTGGAGAAACTTAAAGGAAGTAACCTCCTTCACCTATCTAGGCAGCACTGTTTCAACTACAGGCGGGACGGACGAGGATATCAAAGTCAGAATCGGGAAAGTAAGACAGGCGTTCATTAGCCTGAAACCAGTGTGGAGATCTTCTGCACTCAGCTCAGCATGTGGAACGAGATCCGGATTTTCAACACCAACGTGAAGTCAGTGCTTCTGTATGGTTCAGAGACTTGGCGCGTTACGAAGGGAATTTCCAATAAACTATAGACATTCATCAACAACTGCCACCTACGCTCGCTACTGCAGATCAGGTGGCCAGAATAGTAGGAATAAGCAACAAGGAGCTCTGGGAACGAACCAACCAAGAACCTATCACCCAACAAATATGCAGGAGGAAGTGGAGATGGATTGGGCATACACTGAGAAGGCCGACTGGGGACATCACGCGTCAGGCCAGTTGGTTGAGTGGAATCCCCATGGGAAGCGACGAGTTGGACGTCCGAGGAGAGGGTGACATGGAGGAGATCGTGCGAGGAGGGAATGAGAGCTTGTGGGCTGTCGTGGAGGCAGGTTCAAAAGATCTCAGAGAACATAGGTCACTGGAGACGTGCTACTGAAGTCCTATGTTCCACTAGGAACCCAAGGGACTAATAATAAAATAATAATTCATTCATGTTGACTAATACTTTTTAGAAAAAAAAGTGTCAAAATATCACACTGTTCTATGGATCAGCAATAAACCTCTAAATCTAATCCCTCACTTTGTAAGGTCTGTCCGTCTGCTTAGAGCACCAGTTTCATGTTTAAGACCTGTTTGAGTGTAAACACATCTTGATGTGCTTGTTGTTGTTTTCCATGTTTTCGGTATTTAAAGTTGTGCTAGTCTACCGAGAAATCTTTCTTTATTGACCAAATATCGACAAAGGGCCCTGATTACACCCCATAACTTGTACGAAATAATCCACTTTTCTTAGACTTCAGTTAAAAATAATTCGAAAATCGTAAAGAATGCGTATAATATCAGTTTCAGAAAAATATGGTTTGAGAGATAAAAAGAAAAACTTATCTCAGTATAAATGGGTTATCCATTCAAATCAACATAGAACCAGGCATTAATGCGTAACGGTCCGAGTTGCCACAGCTTGTATCAGTACATAAAGTAAAAAGGTATTGAAGTGGAAGATAAAGAGAAGAAAATTCAGTCAAAAGAAATATAAAGTACTAAAAGAGAGAAAGGAAGAATGAGAAAATGGTGAGATTCGTATAGAGTCGTTAAGATGAGGATAGTGTGTGTATACATCTGGGCCATTGACATCGGTGCTGAGCCATATCTCACTTAGAGTCTCCAACGACTGGTTCCTCTTGTCCCGCGGACCCCAACTGGCTAGTGTGCATCGCCCTACTTAGCTCAAACCAACAGTCAGCGACTTCATACATTGATACCATAGTTTAGTCTAGTCGCCGAGCCTTTTTCCAGCCTGAACCTACTTTGGCCAACATTGTGTAACGAGGCAGAAGGCGACTAGGTATTCAGATTTCATTAATTTTATACCTAATTTATGGGTTTGTTAGTCAATGGGAAATCTTAAAGCAAAGTAAGTTAATGAATAAGGTTTTTCTTTTCCTTTTCTATCCCTTCCTATTCCTATGTTTCCTATTAACTTCATTGACCTTTTCGTAAATTTTCATATAAATAGTTCGACAAGTCCATGTGTGATCAGATTGTTCGAAATGTATAGCGCTAATACATCACATGTTTCAGATAATCTTCGTCTTCTCATTACGCTGTTTAAATTTATCAAAGGGACCAGTTGCTTTAAATGATAGATGGAGTGTTTGAATGTGTTAGTGTTGATGTGCGAGGTGAATGTGAGTGGAGTTGTCGGCGACCATACCACGTTGAAAACACCGGTTCTCGTCCGATCACCGAAGTTAAGCAGCGTTGGGCCCGGTTAGTACTTGCATGGGTGACCGGCTGGGAATACCGGGTGTTGCCGGCTTTTCCCACTCATCTCGTCTCATCCCATCTCGTCTCATCTCATTCACACACACACTCTCAAAATATACACCCCTAGGTGATCACCCCCTAACCCTAACCCTATTCCAAGGGACAAATAATAATAATAACTAATACCGAAATTCGATATTGACGCAAACAATGAATGACTTGGTTTATGAGTTTATTGATATTAAGGATAGAAAGCCTAGGTAGGTGGAAGAGACTACTTCCTTCGGGTTTCTCCTCTTCATGGTGATTGGTGCTTGTCTTTCTTGTTGTTGTTGGTGGTGGTGGTTGGCTATCTTCATCATATCTGTCTTCTCTACACTCACTTGAAGTCCCTTCTTCGCTGCCCTGCCTCTTCTGTCAGCTTGTTGGTTTCCACATGTAGATCGAGTTTGTGAACGACTTTAGACAGTAGAGATAAATCATCATGGGCGAAATCGAAATCTTCTCCTGAGGTCTTTCTATTGGTCAAACAGCTTGTTCCCAGCCTGTCGCTCCCCACAGTCTCTTGGATGATCCAGTCCAGTCCAGTCGACCGCAATCAGGAAGACCATTGGTGAAAGTAGGCGGCAACCTTGTCTCACTCATTCCTGTCTTCACTCGAATCACTAGGCATGTGGTGTCCACATATAGTTGTTGAATAAAGTTTATAAAGGTTTGTGGTATTCCATAGTGTTGAAGCAGCCACCAAACCTTTTGTCTGTTGAAGATGTCGAAGGCCTTTTCAAAATCCATGAAGCTGAGTTTGAGAGAGTTGACCGCCACTCTATACTCTGTTCTATGATGATGCGTAGCGTTGCAATTTATAATAACATATATATTCAATTAAGTACACTTTATTAAAGTTAAATGCTGTCTCACCTGGTGGAGAAGCAGTTAATAACCATCTGCGGAAAAATCTTTCAGCCTTCTCCGACATGATATTGGACAGTCGATGCTTAGATAAAGTGTCATCTCTAAGCTTTACAGGCTGACATTCAGATCGTATTTCAGATGTGTTGTTCTTGTCACCCAGATCATCCATTAAGTTAGATATCTATGAATCAGTCAATAATTGAAAGTCAGTTAAATAAATATCTATTCAAAAGTAAACATGATTGATAAGAATATTTGATGAAAGTTTCCAATGTTTATCATATTTTGATACTTTATTTTGGCTTAGCCTAACAAATAGCCTATTTTCATATTTCAATGGATAGGTGAATTACGACAGTAATGTGCTGCAGCATTGTTGTTGCCTTTGTATGGAAAAAGAACTATTAGTTATCTACGATATTCTAAGTGAAAACGGATACCTGGATAAGTTCATCAAAGCTAACATCAACTACATCGGTTCTAAATAAGAACAGTCGAGAAGAAGCCTTTGTTTCTAAGCTTACAATTCAATGAAGATTTCGAAAGTGACATTCTATCAAAACGCCTAGCTAGAGTAGTCAATAGGATGTTTTATGTCAGTTGGCTTTAATTATCATTCAGTAGTTGACCAATGCTCAACCGAGACTCAAGTATAACCTACCTAATATTAGCTCTCCATCTTGTATATATCACTTCAACTGTTCCTATGGAACTAGTTACATAGGGGGCATGTTAGGCAGGTGCGTTTTCAGACACCAGAACACTTACCAGCTTGGTTCGGAGAAACCGAACTGAGAGTGGTGAAAAGTTGATTCCTAGCGCACCTAGTTGACACAGTGCATCACATAGATGCTAATGTCATTTATCTTATTCCAGAAACGATACCACATGTAGCTCGCCAACGCCTGCTCAACATTATGAAACTTATTACAAAAAGACTAATCAAACTTGAACTCCGGATTCAGAAAGAACGTTTCCAAGCCTTACTTCCCCTTGGTCTTCAGTAAACCAAAGACCACTCCTGCCATCTTATTCGTTATCATTTTGTTCATTATTATATCCCAATACTGTATTAATGCATTTTATAACTGTAGAACCTGATGTGAAAATCTATTGAGAAGAAAATTCTTCATTCAGGTTGTTGCGTTTTATCAATGTTATAAGAATTTCATAAGCTATGTGTATTTGTTAGTTGGTTGGAGGTAATCGGCAGAAAGCCCTAAATCTAGGTTCCGTGCCTTTTGGCACTCGTCAGCAAGGCATGTCTGCAATCTCGTAGTAGTCGTAGTCAGCAACTTTACCACCCAGCTACTCGGGCCACGACTGACCTTCTGTACGACTGGCTTACGTGTACTGATTGGTTACAGGAGTGCAACCAATTTCATGTTGTCTAGTCCTGAGTGAAGACCGAATTCTATCGATCATATTTGCAATGTATATTTGCTCAATACAAACATGTTGTATTGTTGTATCAGAATGTATCAATTCCATGGAAGCATCGAACTAGCATGGAATCTCAAACACGCTGAAACAAACAAAG